AATCTGTCCACATCTACCAACAATGTCAACATGCATTTACGTCTTCGATATCTGTCAACAGCTTTAACGTTGGTCAACATTTAGGCTTGTTAACATCTTTCAACATCATCAGCTTTTAAACATTTGTCCACACGTATTACTAGTAAGTCAACATTTATAGATATCCTCAACTTTTGTCGAGTCCAATCAATATATAATACATACTTTACGGCTATCGACATTTAATAGTATTTTCAACATTCATTCTATGAAATAAATAATATAAAATATAACTTGTATGAAGTAAAATTCATGCGTTGAAATACGTCATTTCATAAAATAACTTTTCAAACATCCAATATCATTATTACATGGCAAACGCCTTGCCTTGTGTGACTTGTTCTGGCGATTATCTGATAGAAGTGACGATGACGTTATGACTTATAAATCCATGTCACTACTACGCCTTTCTTTTTTTGATAACGCCGATACTCAACATATTTGATAGAGAAAAAAAGAAATACACAGGCATACAAAAATATTTGCAACTTCGTTGATACTATGAAGACTGGTGACGCGACACTAGCGCCATATGGCCGTTAACTATTTACTGGCGCGCGCCATTTATTCATCCAATCTTGAATTTCTTTAATTATTCATTGATTCTATCTTTTTATGTTTCAAATATTCAAACGTATTGAATTTTTCCATAAACATAACAAAAATCATATTTCGTTATTTCGTGACGTGAACGTTACGCCCGATGCTAGTACATATGATACTTATAGTATATTATTTCATGGAATCATTTATTTATATTCGCTTAGTTTCCATTTACTTTCGATTAACCTTCCACACGAGGCGTAATAGAAAGTAAAACGAAATCCAAGATGAACCACCCACTAATTTCCCATACATCGCCAAGATTAATTGTACTTACAAATTCTAGAAGGAAATCTATAAAAAGCTACTAGATTGATCTAGGAGCTTAATTACTTCCTTCTTGATGTTTACAACGTCAATTTTCATTTGCTTTAGATTTCATCGTTCAGTTTCGACTGAAATAGCCAGCGTATAAGCTCGTTTATTCGGACAGCAAATAGGAAGTTCGAGATTCGCCCGGAAGCACGCTACATGCACCTCGACACTTCTACAGAAACACCTCAATGATTTGCAGCAACGTCTATAGATAAGAATTAATGATTTTTCGACATTGGTTCCAGATATAAGATGTATCAAAAAGCAATTTTTTATCTCAAAACTGAAAAAGATAATCGGTTACATATTTTTTATATTACGAGGATTATTTGTACTTCTTCATACGCAATAATTCTTATAATTTTTACATTGTACCGATCTTGTCTATTTGTCAGTTAAGGAAACGTAGACTATCTAGACCAAGAATAATCGAAAACTTTTAAAAGGGCTTTTTAAATAAGTAATTAAACTTTGAATTATTGACATAACCTTTCAAGCTTCCTTTGATATTTTTATTTATACAAATTTCCCAATTTAACGACTAAAGATAGATTACCGAAAATAAGAACGAATCAGAGGAAAACGAAAAATGAATCGAAGATGAAGCGTTCGACGAACTTGGAAGATGGTCGATCGCTGCCAGGAAGTACGAAATTGCCCCGGAAATGCGTCGTACGCAACGACGGAGCAGGGAAGACCGTGGCAAAGAAGACCAGGTGAAATCTGAACCGTATTATTATCGAGACTCGTCCTGACTCACCTCGAAAACAGATACCAACACACTATTGACACTGATAACTTAAACCTAGACAAATATTCATCTGCTGTATTACACACGCGCTCGCAACCAAAGGAGACGAAATATAGAATGTGGCAAGCTGTACCAAGTTCAAACGATATGACGACATGTCTATATTTGGCCACCCACTGACATTACCAACGACAACGATTCGTTCCTGCAACCCTATACTTTTCAATGGCACTTGTTGCTAGCCGTCTACCATTTTGACCGTGAATTTAGTAGCTGAGGATCGTTATGTAGGTTATCTGATGGAATATTCCAACATTCAATCTTTTTCTAACCTATTTGTAGTGATATGAATAGAACATGTAAGTTGTTTCCACATTTGAGGTTAGTTGTTTTGAAAAATAAAGTCCCTAGACATTGTATATCTACATCATGTTAGATTGAGAAGTGGTAGGATAATTTTTGTTAACTTATTCGTAGTAGTATGAGTGCCATCTATATGTTGTTTTCACTTGAAATCAGTTGTTTCAAATAATATCTCTGGGTGATCGAATCAGTGTATATTTATCTTATGCTAGATTGAAGAGTTGTGTGATAAAATGAGTAATACGAGTATTATTGGAGTTTATAGCCAACTCAATGTCATTTCCAGGGATTTAAATACAGTATGAAGCTAGTAATAGCTAGGAATGCAGCATCTTTTCTTCCTTGTGGAGGCATACGATTACAAATATAATTTTTCAAATATTCTATGCTAAATTAAGTATAAGTATTAGAATTATATGTATGTAATTCTTCTTTTACTATACAGTAATATCTTCTGAAAGAATCGGAGTTCCGTAGAGAAAAAATTTAACGAGCAGGAAGTAATATAATCTTTACGATATACCATAAGCAAGCCCTTCATTCACTTGTTCCGTATAACAGTTCCTTACCGGAAGTGTTTCTTTATTAAAGGAAGTAGAACAATGACGTTACTATGTGAATGAACGTAAGACACGAAATACACAATACGTACGAAAACTACAGAGTATTGCTAAAAAATTGCTGTTCTCGGAAGAAACGAATCTCGTAATCTCTAACTAAATTCAATGTTTTATCTAATAGGATAATAATTTTTTGAACTGAATGTTGACAGTGTTTTGTAAGTTTCTATCCGCTCACGTAAGAGACAAACACGTTGTTTGACGTAATTCGATTTTAATTTAAATATGATATCACTTCTTGAAATAACTTTTATGGTCCCAATCTCGTTATATGTTACTACAACTGAGTCATATTTACTGATAAGCCAACAGTTGGGATAAAATGCAATTTGATTACTCTAGTTTGCATAACTGTTTTGAAATTATGTGGCTGAAACTTATTTTCATCGTTTACATCATGGCTAATTAGCGAGATCACTAATCTTGATTATAAGACGATTAGTTCTATCCCTATCATTTTTATTTCAGCCAGTTGAAATACAATTATTTCCCAGCTTGCGTTCGAAATACTGACAATTTTCCGCGTAGATTAGAGCAAGCAATAAGACTGCAGCTAATATTTACATAATTGCGAAATGTTCCATCGCGAACGAGCTGTAATTTATTTAGCCGCTTGGCAGTTCGTTAATCCAGATGACATCACTGGTTTCTCAGAAGTTTACACATGTTGCCGACATTTAATTTCAATTTCACGGCGTCATTACACGCCGCAAGCTCAATAGGAATGCCATCACGATGTCTGACCAAGTGCAATGGAAGATTCTTTCCGGTTTAATTCGTCCCTCTTGCTTGAATCATCGCCAATTGTAATACGTTCACAGTACACAATTTTTAAAATCCATGGGAATCCAAAAATTAGAAAATTTAAGTAGCCAAATATTTGATTATTCAGGGATCTGAAAATTCTAAAATTTCAATATTTGAAAATTTGAAAATTCCAACATTTGAATATGTAGAAACTTGAGAATCTCAAAATTTGAATTCCAAAATTCGAATAATCAAAAATTTGCAAATTCAAATATTTGGAAATTTAACAGTTTTTTAGTTTAAAAATATCAGTAGTTAAAATTTGAAAATTCTATAACTCGAGTACGTAAAAATTATAAAATTCGTCGATTCGAAGCTGAAATGAACCGCGCTGTATTTTTGCAACATCTGAGGCGCTTTTCATGAAAAATTGCACCTCACAGTACAGAGTCATAACGTTTACACAATGACCCATTTGTAACAAACTGTTCGAGCCCCTGCTCGGTTAAGAAACAACTACCTCGCTGTTAGCCACAGGAAAATACTTATTACGATAATTATGGAAAGAGAAAAATAATTTTACATGATCTTCCACACGATGTCATTGACATTTACAATCAAATAAAAGAAAGAGCCATATTACATTTTCAATTCCATAGGTTGAGTCAATAACATATTATCTTTCGAAAAGTTTGTTCATGGAGCACCCTTAATTGCAAGACGTTAGTGAGTCATTCGGCTTCCTGCGGACGTTAATTGTTAAATTATAACTTTCACGGAACAGATTGGGCAACTTGTTACATTACGTAATTATCTGTGTTCTCGATCTCGAGAGATGAGGAAGAAGATAAATCAATGTTTCACAAATGTTTGTTCGCGCGAATTCTTCACTGGCTGTCTTTAGGATCAAAAGATTGACGAACTCTATCACGAAACTCCATATCCATTAACTAAGACGATTGAATATGTTACTTTACCTCGTTTCGGTTTAACGGGCCATATTATTTCACCTAACCTAACCTAAATTTCAAAGAAACATTTTAGACAATGTATAACAATTTTCGCTTCACCCGCTATACTAAAATACATATTTTAGCATCTCTGGAGATTTTCCACTTATCCGCTATGTTTCCTACATCCCACGCTGTATACGGTATATTACAACTTGCAGATCGGTCTACCTGTGTATTATCGAGAATGTGGCCGAACGGAACGTGTTATTTCATAGAAAATGGGCATACGTGTATCATTTAGTCGAGAACATCACTGTGACTCGCGTTTCTGATCTACGCAACAACGTGGCTTGCGGTCCCTTTTGTAACTATCGCGTAAACTCCCACGTGCCACATTAGGCCACCTTTCATTCTCCAGTTAGAGGCACGAATTCACCGAAGAATTTACGTCGCCGGTATACGAATACAATGGACTGGAATTATCCAGACGCGTTTTCATATGAATATCGATGAGCCGCCTTATCGAACAGAAGCTGTCGACGCTCCGATATAGCGGATATATATATATAATGTCTTCCTATCTTATTGATGAAAAGCGACTTAAAGTAGAGTTACCATTTATGTGCTAAGTCTTTTATCTGCAGAGTCTTTTATGTGCAATATCTTTAATATTTTTTATTGAGGAATAAAGGACGTTGCGAATGAAATGTTTGTAAGTAAATCATGGTATCTTGAATAAAGAGAGATAAAAGGATAGAAGGAGAGATGGAAGGAAGAGGAGAAAAGTATATTTCATAAGAATCTGCTAAGGCCAGAGGACTCATCAGTTACGCTAACTTAGAAAGCACGTACTCGTGCCATAGACACCCTGATAAGAAAGTTGAGAAGTGATACGTATTTACAATTACTGATAAATAGAAGAGAAAGTACTAGCACGAAAGTGTTGTACGTCGGCGTAGTACGAAAGTGTAGGTGGCCATCTGGTGGTAGAGTTGAGAGTGTCTCTACATGCTCTTTCCCTTCCAGTTGGTTAAATAATGTTTAGAGTGGGAATTCAAATATAACAGTGTTGTAAAAATAATTAAATTTCGTTAAAGTGAAAGTTGTTCAAGTATTAGAAAAGAAAGAGAGAACAGAAAGTGAGTTAAAGTTTTAAAATAACTACTTCATTTGCTTTGATTTTCATTGACACATTCAAGTAGTTGGAACGAGGTTAGATGACATAACCTATAAGTTAGCGGTTTATTAATTAATAAAATAATACAGTTTCAACATTTATAGACAATTGTAAGAATTTATATATAGAAAAATATATCGTCCAATTGTTTAAATATTTGGAACGAATTTATTCCATTTTTTGTTACTCATATAATTTGTTTACTTTTTCATTAATTATTTTAAAACCACGAATACTCTTTAGTGGAAATCACTTGCTAACAAAAATTGTTAGATTTACTAATTTCAATTATAAATCCTTCTTGAAATATAAATTAAAAGCTCATTTCTTCTAATTAATTGTATTCATAGTTGATCCAACAGAGTGATTCTGCAATATATCATAAATATCACACTGCTAGTGTGATTAATCAATATGCTGCAAATAGGAATGCTACAAGTAGGTCAATGGTATTTAAACTTAACAACTGTTTTTATCTTAATTGTGTTGTGTTTCTTTGATATTTGACATTTACAGACATGTCAGGTAAAAGGAAAAAAGTGACTGTAACCATAGCAAAGAAGTTGAAAGCTTTGTACAGGATTGATAAAGGTGAGTCATTGAGAAGTATTGCTATTGATTTAGGAGTAGGAATATCTACTGTTTCTGATTGGAAAAAAAACAGAAAGGAGATTGAAGATTTTTGTGCCAAGATGGTTTCTAGAGATAGCTTAGGCAACAGAGGAACAATTAAAAAAGCAAAGAATGTAACACTAGATGATGCACTGTATATGTGGTATATTCAAGAACTTGAAAATGGTATTCCTATGTCAGGACCTATTCTTAGAAAAAAAGCTCTGAGTCTTAATAAAAAGTTAGGTGGTGATCCTACTTTCACAGCAAGTGTAGGATGGTTAGGAAGATGGAAAGCCCGACATGGTATAAAACTGACCCTCTGTAGTCAAAGTTTACTGGAGGATACTGTCACTAATAACAACTCAGATCGATTATTATTAGAAGATGATATTGTGAGTGCGCGTTTATCCACTCAAGATGGAGATGACATCCAAGACTCTTTTATTGATAGATATCATCAAGAAGAAACAGATGTCAACCACCTAGAAGCAACAACAATGCTAGAAAAATTAATAACTTATTTTGAACAGCAAAATGACACTTTAGAGAATGATTTAATGATTCTAAAACATTTACACAATCGTGTATCAAAAAAATATTTGCTGACTCTAAAACAGGAAACTACTGTTTTGTAACATAATACTCTCAGTGTATAATTATTGTATATGTCTTTCTATTATACGATTTTTTAGTGTAAATAAATTTTGCAAATATATATTTTTTTACTCTTGACCTACTGAGAATTATACATTGAATATTAGTTCTCATGAATGTATTTAGTTCACTCTTCTCTGACAAGTTTATAGATGTTTACTATAAAAGTAATCACTACCTTATCGAATTTTATATTTATTTTAAAATATATAGAAAGGATATTTTTATAGCAGGCGTCATAATATATATAATAAGTATAGTAAGCGTATGGTAAGTGTCATTTCTTAAACCTTCAATTTAAGGAATTCAAACGTTGTCATATCAATTTTTATGAAAAAATATGAAGAGATTGTATTAAATGATAAAAAGTAAAATAATTTAGATGGAAGCTAAGTAACAAAGATTTATATTTTTCCCTAAACCAGCAGCGCTCTCTCAATCATAAAATGGCACGTCAATTAACCCACTTTTTCTCTACTACATTCTTCGTCTGTACTAATAATAAGTAATTGAAAAGAAAGCATAATTAAATAGTTATTAACTATATCCTGTGCTCAGCGAACTTAATCACTTTTCGGATAATCCAGCCATTTCCAATCAACCAATTGATTTACCTCACCTAGTCCAATTACTTTTTCAATGACTATCTAATCGGCACGATAACTTAAAACAAGACGTTAGGGTGAATATCCTCCTGAATATTTTTTTATCACGCATTCCATCGTATCGTCAAGACTCTAGATCGAACGTTGAAACCCGAGAATCTCGATGGAATCGCGGCGATTCCAGTTTCTGCTCCGTCGCTCTGATTCGCTCGGCGAATTTCCAAGAAGTCTGCCTATGCCTCTCTAACGGGCCATTGAATTTCAGCAAAATTGCGTTGCGCATACTTCGTGCTGGTGGAAAAGCCCACGATCGACAGAATTCACCGTTAGATTATGAAGATGTTGCAGATTTTTTTACCCTCTTGAGCGGAAACCGAAACGGACCATTACATCACTGCTATGCGAGAAAAATTTCCGTTGTATAAATTGCTTCCTGTAAGAATTTGTATACCTTTTCCTGTCAATATTCTTTGATGCTTCTTCTTTGATCTTCTTCTTTTTCTTTTCTTAATTGAAGTGTCCTATAATGTGTACTGAATCAAGTGCCTACTCAAGGTCATTGGAAAATGACCTTTACTTTTTCCCTTGCACTGCATACTTTAATAATGAAATTACTGAAACCTTAATTTAGGTATTGTGACTATTGATATATTTATATAAATGAATATATTAATAATCTAATAATAATCTAGGCAATTTTGCAGATTACCGACTTTTCCCGTCGTAAAAAGAAGCTACAGTCAAAATAGGGAAAAATGATGAGATTGCGTAATTATCATAATCTATTGTATAATCTATTCTGTTGATAATTTAAAAGACAGAAGATTCATAAAAGATGGTTGCCCTGAGAGACCCTGCAGATGTTGGAATGTTCTCACCATGCGACACTTGTACTTAAAAGAGGGCTATATACATGCTTATATATTGATAGCATGAAGTGGAGTTTTTTCAGTACACTGTGAACGAGCTGTTAAATACAGCGTGAAGACACCATTAAATGGGAGCAGGAATGAAATGCTCGTAAAGTGAAATGATCGGTGAAAAGTGAAATGAGACCCTATCAGTGTAATTTTTCTGTTCGATCATAGGAGAAGACGCGTCGAATGATAATGAATCGTTTCACCGAGTTGAGTGGTGAAATTCGAACGAGGTCGATGACCAAAATGATACGCTTTTTACCTTGTCTAATGAAAGATAACGAGACTCAATTCAAATCCAAGATAGACATTTTAGAAAATAGAAAATGAAATGCAACGATATGAAAATGTGATAGGAAAGTCGGAAAAATTTATGGCTGTATCATATAATAGTATTTTCATCGTTCCTTTTGCATTCTTTCGAATTTACGGTCGAGAATAGGCATTGAATAATGATTTCACGCTACCAGGTCAGAGATAGCGTTGCAGCAAGCCAATTGAAAACAATTTATTCCTTTATCTTATCGTCATTCCTGCATTAATTACACGGGATGTTAAACGGTACAGATTTCTATTCACAGACGCCTATTCACTTGTTCATATTTCCCTTTCAATCTCCTTTTATTATTATTTTCATATTTATTTTCATAGTAATGATATTGCACTATTTGCTTGATAACTCTTCATTAATCTTCTTCACGTACCAATACAGTAAATGTTTGATTCGATTGAAATAAAAATTTTGCCAAAGATGAAGAGCCAGTGTTTCTTAAAGTGGCTATAACTCGAATTACGTACATCTCTAGTCAGCTGATTTTAAATGTTAATGTATTCTGTCGTTTGTTTATAGGAACACAGTCTTAGTAGTGGAATTCGTTTTACCATCAGAATTATGACCAATGACTAGGATATAAAGTTTCTAAAGATATACAATGCAGAGAGACAAACAACTCATTACCTATAGAGAACAACTATTATCCATATACATATATATTTTGCAAAATAGACATCCAAATCCCTCAAAATACACGGCTATAATTTATCAAATTTTTACAGAAAACTACAAATTGATCATTTTAATTATTCTGGTAATTTTTATGCAAAACTTTGCTATACACGTGTTTTCTTTTTTCTCTTTTTTTTTTTTTTTTTTTGGTAAATGTGATAATCTGCAAAAATTTGGTCGTTAATTTTTTAAACGCTCTCTATTGCATTCGACAATGATTCCCGTAGTGACGTCAGAGGCGTGTAGAAAGTTGACAAGAAAAATCTACATTCCTGCATGCGTTCTGGCAGTTTTACATTCACCGTCGCGACGTGGCCGTCTACTAGAAGAATCCGACCGCGTGTACGCGCCAGATAAAACTCCGTTCCTTCATATCGTATTCTGTCGACGCGTCTCGACGGGTCACGTATGGGGGACTTACAACTAATTACGCCAATGAGAGATGTCGTTCAAGATGTACGGCCAAAATCTGCCTTTTGTCACTCGTGTCTCCGTTATCCGTATTTTGTAGCAGTCAAAACAACTGAGTGAGAAATGGCAACTTGAAGAAAACTACATGAATTGTACACCAAATTTGAAAGAAACTGTATATACATATGTTCACTGTCAACTGTACATACATGTATATACATTTATTTCATGCATTTTCGTCACGAGCAATTTCTGTTTAAAAATGTACGAAAAATGTACCATACTTGATAATTAATTAATTTCCATGTATAAGAAGCTTCAAGAGCTATCTAAAATACAACTTATCCTTTCATCCTGGGGCAAAAATCGTAACACTATATTTATTCTACGTTTGTATCAAAAAATTTAGCTGAAAAATTCAGAAATTAATTGAACTCCATTTGTAAGAAGATTCAAAAGCAAGTCAACGTATAATTTATGTTTTCGTTTTAGAGCAAGAAGCAGGAGCCATCACTGTCCTACATTTCTCCATTCATGCATCCTAAATTCCTAGTTTCCCCTAGTTGCGTGGTAAAGCATAAAGACGCCCCCACCATCGCGTAGTTCGAAACAGGTTGACGGTAATGGCGATACTCGAGTCGGCACAATAACATTGCACGCGGCAATTTTTTCCCGTGGTCGTTCGTAAATCCACGATTGACGGAACGCGGGAGTACGCGTTAAGCCTTGAAGTCTGTAACCGGAGTCTTGGTCTGTTCGCTTGCGTCTTGAGTTCCAGGACTCGCCAAGGATCTTTCTCTTCGTCTCTTTCTTTCTTCCTTCTTCTATCCTCCTCGTTTGCTACGAGCGGGCTCAACGAAGAAATGGAGGGAGAAAAGGGGGACTTTGAGAGCGGTCCAGCAACTCCCCCAGAAAACGTGTATGTGCGCGCGCGCACGCATGAGAGACGTATATACGTTTCGTTGTTAATACTCTAACTAACGTTGGATAGCGATGGGAATGATTATCGTATTTTACTCATTGCTTGGCATTCACAGATTCGTTATATGTATATAAATTTGAAAATTAATTATATAATCTATATTATTAATACTGCATGAAAAAGATGAAGTGTCAATATATAATTTATTATGTATTTGACTTGGAAACTTGTAAGCAAATTCTGCATAACACTGTGTATAGATATATATATATATATAGGATTTATATGTGATGGTCATATTTTATGGTCTTTCGAATATTCTCCATATTGATAGCTTTTATGGTAAATGTTTACAAGTTATGTTTGACGAAACGTAAGTATTTAACAGGGACGACCTTGAAACGACTTTGAACGGAAGAATCCTTGACAAGTGTGCTCACCGGACGATACTGAATCTGTAACGCGTGTTTACATTTGCATATTAATGAGCTTCCAAACCGGATATTTTTAGGTTCTACTTTAATTATATCGGCTGGTGTCACGCGAACATCATGTTTTGGAAGCAATGTTTCTTTCAATCTGATAATTCCTCTCGGCGTTATCTTATGAATTACGCATCTCTATTTAAAAATTTACATCACTCCATAATCTCTATTATACAGCGTTTTTTTCTCATCAAACATGTCACAACATTTCTATTATAATTATAACAAACAATATTTATGTATTAATATCTTATCGAGCCAGTAAGATCCCCACGGTTACATAATCTAACATAATACATTTTGTCAGTCGGCAAGTCTATCAGTTCTACAGCTTGTGACATATTTTGCATATTTGTAAAAAGTTAACGTCGAATAAACTCGACAAATTACCAGGCTTCGATTAAAATAAACAATCCTGAATAAATCAATTTTCGCGTTACATTTTAAACACAACCGAAGAACGGTTACACCCATCGCTGGTTTCACGCACACGACTTTCGCCCATCGGACGAGCATCGAAAGGGACCGCTGGTGGAGGGAACGCGAAAAGTACGATTGGTGGGGGGAAGAAAAACGACTCCCAAGAAAAGGACGCAACGATAGGGAGGAAGTGAGAAAGACAGAAAAAAACGACATCCATTGAGAATTACGGTATTCGTGGAGTAGTGAGTAGAGGAACGGACAGAGTGTTGGAGGGGCTCATTAGAAACTCAAGGCACTACGGCGTGGCGGCGCGCGCGTAATATTATTTCCTCGTGGAACGCAGGGGCTAAGGCTGATCAAATGCCGGGTACCGTTCGGGAAAGGATCGAAGTCCGCTCCAATTTCACGTGCAACGACGCCAGCGCCCCGTTATGATCGCTTCGCTCAACAGAGAGAAACTTGTTCCGACCGCGGGGGGAAAAGGAAAATCTCCACCGGTCTTTACGCTCCCTTATGCATACATACGTACGCAAGCGCGCACGCGCGCGCGGTTTTCCAGCTGTCCGTCGAGCGACCTTTGCAAACGACCAGTTCTCCTCCGCGAGGAATTCTGACCTCGTAACGGAATGACTCTACGCACAAGCTATTAGACACGGGAATACGGGGACGTAAGATATCGTCACAAGGGGAAAGCTATTGCGGGACGGGTATCAAAGTGGACTCTACTGTGGGATGCAAGAATGGAGTTAGGGCAATCAGATCTTTTTTATATAAAATGCACGAATTGTTTATTATTTTATATTATATCATAGTGGAGGATAACAGAAAGTTTAAAAAATACAAAAGACAGAACAATTTTAGAAAAAAGATTTATAATTGATCGAAACAATAAAATTATGGACAGATATAGATAATGTAGATGACTGTCATGAAATATTTAGTACAGCAAAGTTATTATACACAAATATGAACTTTTAAACTTTCTTTCATTTGACACTAATGTATTTGTTTCAGATTGTATTACTATACTTTTAAAATTGATCAAGCTGTGGTAAATTTTGTGAATCGTAGCCATTAACGCATAATTTAATATTTGTCAAACACTTGGCTAGGTGCGATGTCAACAAGATTAACTGTGAACAATAAAGGTATCAAATGATACAGTATATTCATATCAAAATATCTCCTTACTTATTCACTTTATAAATCCTAACTCTACTAGTATTTTAGACATCGATATTAATTTGTTAATGATATGGAGCATGTGTAGAAATGCTATTAACCAAAATATGCAATTGACATCATCCTAACCTCTGAATTCATTCCCATCTATAATCTGTAAGTTCTTAAGACGCAGATGCAGATGTGATAACGTCTTCCAGTGGTTGGAATAGCGATGGTGATAGTTGAAATTTGATATTCGTGAAACGAAAGTGCGCGAGATTTGAAAATACCGCCATTATTTTCTATTGCAGAATTCATGTTCGAAGTAACAAAATGGAATAGAAAGATATTTGATGTAGTCGTAGTTGTCAATAAATCAATATCTGATATTGTTAAGCTGATAATACTTATACCAATAGAGTAATAAATGAAGTAATATAGAAGAAAATTATGTACTTTGAAATTAGTAATCAGTTTCTAATCAAACAAAATGATATACACGTATAATGCGTCATCACTTAGGGATTACAAAAAAAAAAAATTCTTAAGAAATAAGGCTCAATGCAAATGGAATGATGATGATGAATGGTAAAAAATTTAAATTTCTTTCGCACGATTTCCTGGTATCGAATAAGGCCTTTTGTTCCGTTTTTAAGCAGTCCTCGCGCGATCCTCCTAGTTTCCTTAACCTTGCGTTCTTCGAATTTCTATGTACATATAGTTATATTCAATATATATTAAAATCTCGCTCTCGTTTCAAAAAAAAAAGAAGAGTTTAGATATTGGTAGAGATATTCTAACATAAAATTGAAATAACATAAATAATAAAATAATAAATAATAAATAATAAAAAACAAATAATAAAAAATGGCAATACAGAGAGAAAGCACATATTCGAAAAAAAAAGAAAACGAATTCAAATTAATGCGAGACTCGAAAAGGCTAATCTCGAAAAGATCAAGGATATCCTTTCGATCAATGCGACGAGTTCGCAAAGATCTCAGTGTTATGACGAAAGAAAGTCTTAAAAGAGCAAGAACTTTCGTACACGACTTTTTGCTACTGTTGAAGCGGATCACTGGATCCTCTATATTTTACACGAAATGTCCCACGTGACCCGTCGACCCTTGCGCGCGTAAATTTTCTGTTTGCCGACCAAGCAGTTCGAGGATGATAAACAAACTCGAAATCCTAATCTAACCAGACAGTATGCAGACTGTTTAGTATTTTTCTCCTCTTTCATTCGTACGAAATCTGGAAAATTTCGTTCTAATATACATACAGTAGTTACAAAAAGTACGTGCACATACCATTATTTTGCAAAGAACCATCTTTTTATCAAGTTAAAGGTTGCACATTTCATTTCCGTAGTATTAAATTTTTGTAGTCATACTATTGGATGATATGACACTTAATATACTTGAATTTAGTTAATTAGTATACAAATGCTATAATAAATACAGTGGTGTATAAGCACTTTTCGTAGTTACTATATGTACCAATGTAAATCGAATGTACATCGGACTAGATCGTTCGATAAGACACACGGTACGATCGATCGTTTCGTGGAAAGGTGACAGGTCCCTTAACTGTAGACATACCTTTTCAACGTGTGTACGAAGCTTATCCAAAACGCAAAAGCACCTGTGTGCTGAATCCGTGAGAACACTCTGTTAAATACACTTCCTAAGCACACTGTATTCACTAAAATGTGCACACTTAGGTCCGTGAAGTTGTTACAAGAGATCTGATAAACACACGCGCACACGATACAAACTGAGAACCACACGCTTCAACTTTGTACTAGCGGTAGCGTGTCGCGCGAACCGTACCGACGTCTGCGCCAATGCGTTTGCGGCTTCGAACTCCAAGCGGTTCTTCGACAATTCCCGCCGCCCTTCCCCTGAAGTTAGTTTCCACTGGAGTTTCTTTTGGAACGCCTCACCTCCCGTTTCGGTGGGTCCAGCAGTGTTTCAAGAAGATTGCCGAGTAAACCTCGCCATCTATGAACTCACAATGACGCTAGATTTATTCTCTGATGATAAGGTTCGGCTCGCGCGGAAATTTGACCGATGCAAAGTACACTTTTGCACTTGTAATTAAAAAATAATTCGCATACGTACAACGAAAGTCAAAGAAATTGACATTTTTGAATTTTTTAAAATTCCAATTCCTTCGTTTTCTATTTCACCAATGTTATAGCAGAAGTATACTTTCCACCAGTCCATTTAAAATGTCATCATTCTTGATACATTCAATTCTGACAGAATCTGAATTATATTTTTGAGAATATCTTTAAATTTCTTACTTACTTAAAAAATTGCTTGAAATTGTGTTATATGTTAATATTGACCCGGTGGTCAATGCATGAACTGAGAACACGATAGATGTGATATTAAATATGTATGTACTAAATAGGATTAGGATTGAGACTTTGCGTGTCATGTTCTGAAATACCGATCTCAAAAAAGACCAAAGTGTTTCTTACGCCCTCTATAATTTATAATATCGCGTTAATTGCAAGCACAAGTGATTGTAATTAGTTCGTTCAAAAGCCGTTCGTTTACCTAGACAAAACGTTAGCTATTTCTCGATTAAATAAACTTCTGGTCAATGAATTCATCTATCCGAACGTCAACTATTATTATATGAACGAGAAATCATAAATGGCAAAGAGAATCAGAATAATCTTCATTTATAAAAACATAATCGCGAATGCAGCCAATTAGCTCACATTACTTGCTGTATAATTCATAATTGTATCATATAATATGATACAATTAGTAATTATATGTCAAATAATAATGAGTTCCAGGTCTCACCGCGAGGAGGTTGCTGCATGTGGAGACCCACCCTGAAAACAAATTTCAATTAAATCTTGAATTAATCATACAACGCGATATGAGACGCCACTTTGTATTTGCATAAATATTTAACAATCTTCTAACTAATCTAATAACTAATTAACTAATTTTGAATTGATGACGTAACATGTAGCACAAAGAATGGTGCCCTATGGTGCCCTTTAAAATATGAGGCACGATAAAGGATTACATGTCATGTCTATTTTGTTCAAATCTAGCATGAATATTTAAAATTGTATTATTTTAGACATTAAATCCACTATTTTCTATGGAAGTTAATATTGATTTGTATCAATGTGTTATAAATTGAATTCGTCCGGAAATAACAAGATTCTATATAAAGTGAAAAACGTTATAGGTATCAATTTAAAAATATTAATTCTTAATCTTATCATTTTTGTGGAAATACTAACATTTTAAAAATCTGTTCATGTTATCATATAACGTACAAGAAATGATTCATCTTTGTTCCTTCTCTATTTATCTCACAAATCTGTTATTTATAAAAAAAGCTTTGCGTATATCGAGAACATCCAATACATATACTACTACGATATAGACGAGAATTACCACTATATAATACCGCCTAGTTTTCCCTATTAATCAATTCATTGTGAAATTTGTTATATAACCCACCTATATAAAAAAAACTTATAAAAAACAGTAAAAAAATGTTAAACTCCCATTTTTAATCGATACAACAATAATACAGTATCATTTCATACATATTTAATAAAATACGTCATAGACAATAATAATTGAGCAATAACATAGTAATTTTAATCAACTCATCGGAAGCGGTCGTTCGCATCGGTAACACAATCTATCCTCTATTATCAAACGTCTAAATCAATGGTTAGAAAAAGACGAGACGCTATCAATATAATAACACGAAAGTCCCTACATTTGCTAACGTTATAACCAACAAGCAGTTACGCTGGTCGGTGGTGGAAATTACGGTATTTGGTTGTGTGTTAAGTTAAGTACAACGATGAATCGCAAAAGATAGTCGGTATCGGCGAAAAAAAATACGCGACGTATGTGTTGCGAATGATACCGCGTTCCGTCCTATGATATAATCTTCGCCAGAAACTCGAGAAAAATCTTGTGGCGCTGTATTTCAACAGCTGATCTAACTGGTACAATTCTCCAGACAAAATTCTCGTTTCTAGTCAGCTAGGTGATCCGCGATAAATGATGGCCGGATATGTATTGAAAGTTAAAACGAAATCGGGTCAAAAGGTCGTGAATGGTTTGCTCCCGCAGGATAAGTTAGGCAAATTACGATCAAAATTAGTTGAGATAACAGGAATACCGGCTGAAGCGCTTCACGTTCTTTGTGGTTTTCCACCGAGGCCAATTAATCTGAACGACGAGACGGGCTCTCTCGAAGCTTGTGGCATCATTTCTGGGGACACCTTGATCGTCGAAGAGAAACCACCACTTTACAATGGGAAACAGAACTCTGAAGATATCGGTCGATCTCATATCGTCGATGAAAAGGGTTTCACGAATACGCCTGGTGTACTAATGAAAAAGGTCGTACCAGCAGATAATTCCTGCTTATTTACCAGCGTTGGTTATGTTCTCAATGGTACACAATATAAATTGTATTAATATATTTGTGCCATATATAAATATATATATACTGAAAGTATATTTTCAGGCAAAGTTGATCCTAGCTGCGCAGGCTTTATGAGAGAGATCATAGCGAATGCTGTAGCATCAGATCCTGTGGAGTATTCGGAAGCTTTTCTGGGCAGACCAAATCCTGAATATTGTAAATGGATCTTAAAACCAGAATCATGGGGTGGAGCCATTGAATTGTCAATATTATCCAAATTTTATGGATTAGAAATAGCAGTAATAGATAGCATTAATGCTATAATTAATAGATTTGGAGAAGATCAACATTATGCTCAAAGAGTTTTTTTGATATTCGATGGAATCCATTATGATCCTTTATATTTGGAACCACTCGATGTAAGCGTAAACAATTATATACATATACATGTTATTATTAGTTTTGTTCCTCTGGTTTTGACTTTTTAATTTCTATCTGCACGTACAGGGAGGCAGCATTCAAACAATCTTTCCCACAGAGGATGAAAAGATATTATTCGAAGCAGCTGAACTCGCGAAAGAAGTAAAATCTAGTCGTCAATTCACAGACATTCAAAAGTTTATGTTAATATGTAATGATTGTAAGGTCAAACTAAATGGTCAAACGGAGGCTCGGCAACACGCCAAGGAAACAGGTCACATGAATTTCGGCGAGGTAGCCGTGTAGCGAATTAAATTGATCCCTTTACAATTGTCGATCACTTTTAAGCGGACTGCCGTTTGAAAATCCTACTAAATTCAAGTCTCAAGCAGAATTTTCTACTTAGGCGAGGCTTGTAAGCGGACTAGCAATTTAATATTGATACTTTGTTAATTTAAGATATATGCAGTGCACTATGAGGATTGTTTAGACATGTAATATACACAGATTTTTAATTTTGACTAAAGATCCAAATCTTTAATTAAACGCCAAAATTTATATAATTAACTTTATTGCAGTTCAAAGAACTGTCATTGAACATAGCCAAGTATATTCTATCTACATTGAGTACATTTTTATTTGTAGTTTATTTATTAGATTGAAATTTATTTATACATTTGAATTTCAAATTGATACAAAATTCTGTTTCTTTTATTTCAACTAGTATATACTTGAGATAATTGTGATTATACAAGAAAAGATTAATAATTATTTAGTTATCTAATACTAATAATCATCTAATCATATAATTTTAATAATTACTTAATTATCTAATTTTGCGTTATTTTTATTTAAGATAAATTTGTTGATAGTAATAATATGTTAAAGACTATATTCTTTGGCAAGATTAAGAATCTGTGATACTTGGTTAAATTTGCCTAAACGGAATTCATAGCCTTACTGGCAGTAAATGTGTTCCACATATATATATATATAAAAATATATAAAAGGAAGTAATAATATTAAATAAATCATAAAGTTGATTATAAAGCGAAATGGAGTTTCACTTAGTTTCGCTTCTAATGGCAGATCAATTTAGCACCGTTAATAGCGAATTTTATAAGAATAAATTGCAGCTCCCAAGAGAGAAAAACGAAAAAATCTAATGGATCACTGTTAAACACTAAATAACATCACACCTCTATTAATAAAGAAATGTTGCTTGATAAAAAACCACAAAATGTTATCTTAACAAATTTGATCTCTATTGCGATAGTTTAATTTACAGTCTAAATATGCATATAATATAACAAAAAGATAAAGATGTATAGTTGTATAACAATCCACCAAGCTTATATACATACATGATATATATAATTATATATGTAACATGTATATAAGTATATATAATTATGTATATAACATATATGTATTTATATAATTAGGATATTATAATTATTTTTGTTATTGCGATTTTTAAATAATTAAGCATGCACTGTAAAAAATACAAGTTCCAATCGTAAAAGAAAAAAATGAAATTTAATTTTTGTAATAACTATGTACGGTATTTATTAGTCAACTCCAGCACAGAATTTTTCTTTTTTATATTAATAATATAGTTTACTATGTTAATCTTATATCATTAAATAATACACATATATTATGAATGAATTTAATTCAAATTAAAAAATAAGGAAATTCATAACTATTCATCACTCAGGAAAAATATTCATGATAGATCTACAGGTTTATATTTATACAGTACATATTTTGTAAGTCCTACCGTTTTGGAGAAGTAAAATAAATCAGCTATTTACATTTCACAACATTTCCAATGATTTTTTCTGCATTTCAAATAACGAAAAGGCATGTTCAAAATGGCCGTCATTTAAAGCTATTATTGAGAAACAATTTAAATGAGCTTCCTTACGCCCGAAATAAAGTCACTCATAATTTTTCACGAACGATTTGCTACTTTCAAATAACAAGAATAGTAATAGTCGTTTAAAATGACTGTTAATTAAAACCGTTATTGACAAGCAATTTGAATAAGTATCTTCTAGTTATAAATAAAATTACTCACCAAATTTTACAGTCTAAAGATGAATTAACGTAAAATTATCACAATCAACGTTGAATTTATAATTAAAAATACAATTAATCTTGTAATAATAAGTTTTGAAGCAAACTTGGTAAAAGAACATCCGAAATCTTACGCGCGGCATGTTAATACTGGAACTATTACGCTAGTCAAATTCAATACCTTCCGAAGTTCACAATAAATTTATAACAGTACAATTTTTACAAATTTGAATGATTTCTTATAAAGTAAATTTTTATAAGTATGTTGTAATAAAAATTGTATTACTTTAATACAAACTTGCTTTAATATAAGCTTATATTTACTACTTTAAGGACCATGCATAATATTGCACACAAAATGCAATGTTTAAAGTTGCACAAACACAACATTATTACAAAACGTAAATAAAGTAAGTTATCGTTTTGTCAAGCTATAGAAAATCTACTGAAATAGAAATCTACGAAAAAGATAATTTGAGGAAATTAAAGTACTTTATATCTCCACCATAAAAAATAGTTTTTGATAGAAACATAAAATATTCTAATTTCTACAAATTATTTTTTTTTATAATTATAGAAATTTTGCGTATCTTTGATTCGTACAGTAATTCTGTAGATTATCTATAGGTATCTATTATTCAAATACATCTTTTGTATCTTAATAAAGTAATCTATAAGAATACACATTTTTCATTGTATGTAATTAGTTAACTTTTATATAATATTTCACTGTTCCGTTTTTAATAACAGACTTGTCAATAGGTTAATCGTCGGTAAAAAATTTGAATCTGATCTGCAAAATAAAACTAGGAACGGTGGAACTAGAAAACGGTCGGTAAGTATCGTTGTTGCGTATAACACGCGAGGACGGCCGAAGCACATGTATATATAGATGTCAGGTTACGATTGAAGCAGAAACGACGCATCGTATTTAGTAGGCTGCCAGCCATAGACCAGGATTGGTGTTGTGCCTTTTGATACCAGATAGGAAATGTGATCTATTTCATAAAGAGATGGCAACGATAGCTTTCTGCCTTTAATTCGTGAAAGAGCAGAAGCTTTTGCCTCAAGACAGGAGTACGTTCTATGTCAGTCGTGAAAATCTGGGCATGGTGTGTTATACGAGAAGATTATCGATATAAGAAAATGTCGCTGCTGCTGTTGACAACAGTACGTTCAGCCAAAAGAAATTCACTGACAAATAGGTGAAAATGGAAGATGAAGCGGATATTAGAGAACAGCTATTTCATAATACAGTACGGGAGAATATTGTAAGTAAAAATCATAGATGTTTTTAGCCATATTAAGCCCCTTGTTTATTGACCTCCCATCAAAATGGAGGGTTCTTGAAGTTTCTTGGGACGTTCCTGCAAATAGGAAATCGCCACGTTCCCCGCGATTAAATTCAATATTTCTTTCGATAACCAATATTTTAACGTACGAAAGTAAAATTAGAAGTGATATAATAAATCCTAACCTTTCGTCTTCCCATCTGAATAAAACTCTCTTTTTATATTTTATAATTGTACATCCTGTAAAGCATAAAAAGAGAAAAAGAAAATCAGGATAAATACAATGTAATATTAATATTAAAATTCATTTCTTGTTTAGTTTGAGAAAAGAAATAGAAATTGAATATATATATTGCTATTAATGTGATTTTATTAAATATTTCTAAGAATAAAGTAATGAATTGATGTGATACGTTGATGTTGTAACTTGTTTTTTTATATCGAAATTTAAAGCAATTTGTTTAGATACACGAAAGTATAAAGGAAGAAACAAAATCAAAGAAATTAGTCACGTATACACACGGTACACATACATCACCTATATTTTAGCTGATAGGAGACTTTTGTTGTAAGAAAGAAAAATAACTGTAAGACCTCACTATTTAATTAATATCTCTAATATCCAAAAATTTTTTTAAAAATATTACTACATACGCATGTTTATTGTGTTGGTATTAAGAGTACTATGTATATTTGCATAAAAGTGATGTTTTCTTTTGTCATATTTAGATTCTAATAGCTTCTTTTAGTAACACTCATTAATCACGCAAGTATCATTTTTCTAATGCGTTTTGCGCATCAGTTTGCATTTTACAAGGACTTTGGCATGTTTAGTTATCAATTTTTCCATGAAAAATTAAAGTTGTACAGCTGCCAAGATGATTCCGTAAATCCGTTAATACAGTGCAGTCGTAGGTTTTTCTAACGGATTAAGATAAACATCTAAAGACATTACGTGCTCATTGTCACGACAAGAATCGCAAAGTACAGTTGCTGACGAAAATACTAGAGGAAATTTTTGATGAGTATATCATGTGTTTTATATGAAATATACATATTTATACTACAAATTTTATTAGCATTGTAACGAGATTCTATTATCACGATTACATTCGTAAAACATAAAACATATATATTATATAAACATATATGTAGGCATATATTTCGTAGAAATTACAAATGTATTTAAACGTATTATATTATGATAATAAGCCTCAATACTTAACACTTATTTTAACATTTATTGCATATACTTAAGTGCAGTAACTTCTATATTTTCAGGTTGGTTTCAAATTTGATTAATATAATAAAATTATGGCAGTTGTGTCTCATTAGAACGCTAATAAAATTGTAAAATGTTTTATATAACGCACATAATATATACATGAAAGTTTTCTATATACATATGTACTTTCTAAATACTTTCGTCAATCATTATATGTACATACATTGTACCGAAAGGTTTCGTCTATGGCTATGTATAGATGTTGCACGGACTATCCCTAGTATGTCTGCCGTCTGCCCTTGACTCTATACTCTTTGTTTAATACACATAATTGGATGATCATCTCTAGTCAATGCACGGAGGAATGTTGTGGAAATACATTCTTCGCGATAAATTCTTTCTCTATACTTTCCCGCCGAGTCGTTGACCACGCATTATTTCTGATCTCTGACCGGTTTTTCCTTCCACCTTGGCTGATAAAAAAAGCGGTTTCCAACCGACTGTGCAGCTTCTTCAACTGCTTCAACGATCACGTTTGTCCCATTTGAACATAGTTGCACGATCTATTCGCAAACCATTCGATACTTTCTAGGATACTAGGATAACCTCCATTAATGTGCCATTGATTGACTCACTTGCTCACTTCAGTTAAATATATAAGCATCCTTGGCGTTCTTGATAAGATATTCGGAAAAACTCCATTAAAAGTCTAATTTAGACCCTTTTTTCTATTTTAACACTTGGAAAATATACAATATGTTCTAATATAAAAATTACAATTTTAATATTATTTATGGTTGCAAGCGTTTTTACTGACACTTGAAAAGATGTTAATGTATATTCTCTATTTAATCCGAATGTATAACGAAAATGAAATGAAAATACTAACTAAATATTTATTAAATAAAATCTTTTATTTGGTAAATTTTAACAAGTAAGAAATTTAATACTTTCGTTCATATATTTTATAATATAATTTCATTTAAGAAGAATCTTTCCTTTCTATTTATCCTTTCATATTCCTTTTTATTTGTTATAAGTACATAGTGCACAGCAATAGAGGGCCCACTAATGGAGGTCAATATCTTATTTGCTAACTGTACAAGTTGTAAATTTGGGACATTCTTGAAAGTATTAGGTTTTGCCATTTCTATATTCGTCGTTTCTGCCAAAGGGTAAATAACCGTGACAAAAAGGATCGCCATAATGGCTAGCACACCATACATAGAAACTCCTTTTCTGTTAAAAATGTCGACTATGTTTTTGGTCTATAAGAAGCTAAAAATACGTTGCATCTACGTTGCAAATACACGTATATTACCGTTCTAAAACGATATAATTTTATCTTTCTTTGTTATGTTTTATTTCAAGCTGATATATTATCATATTTGTTTGACGTACTTACGCTACGTTTGATGTCGAAGGAATAAAATCTTTAGATCTGTTTCATTTATCAGTGGGCACTTAATTTCGAACTAATGCAATAGCATTAGCAATAGCGAATGCAATAGCGAGAAATTGAACTGCCAAACTCTATTTGAACTGTTAGGTAATTGAAACGTATCAAGCTAATTTATATCAGCTACTATATTTTCCCTTTGATTATATTATTGTTATTATGTAG